GGGGGGGGGGGGTATGATGTATGTATGGGTTTATTTTACGTTATTTTTTGTGTGAAAATCTGTATATTGGTGATAAGTTAGCATATTTGTAGTGTGCTCTTCTTTATGCTTTTCTAATTGGCAGTTTAAACACCATGCGGAGTTTTGCTTTCCACATCGAATTTTTCCTTTGTCCTCATCCATCGGCGTTTATTTGTTTCAGGCTCATAATTTAGAAGTGAACACTCTGCTGGAGCTGTATGACGGTCAGCACATTCATTGCGTTGGACTGTTTGCTAAGGATGAGCCTCAATTCCGCCAACTGATCGAATCACCCTCGAGGTATGCCGAGGACAATGACTGTGCAGGCACACAGATCTCAGCCACGGAAACAAATACCAAGGAAACGCTGGAATTCAAATCAGAGGGCATGGCGCATGCGGAGCAAGTAGAGACAATCCCCAAACCAGCAGATACTTTCCCCGCTCGGGTTTCATCCTCTGACGCTGTCGATGACAATAAAGCTGGGGATGAGGAAGAAAATGATGATGATGACGATGACAGCTTGGATGAGTCTTTCGAGAAAATCAGCCCAGAACCAATGATGGAATAAGTTCGCGACGTCAGAAGCCGATTATTTCACCGATTTGTATAGAGATTACTTGAACTTGATTTCCGATACACGCGCACACACTTCCTTTGAGCCATGTGTTCAGCTGCTTCTCGTCAATATGCTTTTCACACAACAGTGTGACAATTGTCCATTTCTTGGTTTGCCCAGTGCGTCTGTATTGTGGTTCAATGAATCCCGACACTTCCACTCAAAATAGGTTTTTTGTCTCACGCCAGACAAATTATTTCTTTCCTGCGTTCATTTCATTTGTTTCCCCCCCCTATTTTTGTGTGTTTGTGATCGGTTATCTGATCCTGTTCATTGTGTCTTATGTCTGGTTCAGCTTCGACATCATGTGGGCGTCTCCGCTATTCGGGGGCGCATTTCTCGACTTTGAGGAACACAAACACGCATCATACAACTCATTACCCGCATAATAATAATGATAACAACAGCTTTACCTGTCTGAGTGTTGCTATTTTGCTCACCAATTGCTCGTGTTATCAGGTTCGCTTCGTTTTCACCGTTATCATCCTCATCATGTGCAACATTCACTCAGTACAAGAAATTTGACATCATTGCAGTTCTTGTTTGTATCCGTTGCAGGTTATACATATATATATATATTTATATATTATACTGAGGGGTGTTAAACATACCTTGTGGTGTGCATTCATCACCCGTTCTGCGTCGTTGTTCGTCTCCTGAGAGAATAAAACATCACGGTTTTGTCCGGTTGCAAAGTCGAAGCAAGGTATGTAATGATTGTTGAGTTAGATTAGTTTGTTTGTCACATCGTGATTCAGTATGTGATGTCTTTCGCTCCTTTTCTATATCTCCTTGAGTCACATTCGAGAATGCCGGCTTGGTTAGTTAGCCATTTCTATCGGAATTATAAAATTTATAGTTCAAATCCTGCACGAGTGACTGATCACATGGTAAACAGGACCGAAATGTCCCAAGGTTCTCGTTTACTGAGCTCTACTTCATCCCTGGAAAATAATGCTGCTTACCCATTATTACAGTTGAGCAGTAGGAACAGGGTCGAAGAACCACAGGTACCATGAGTTAGCTTATTTAAACAACCTTAACTGTGCACGAGGAAGTCATAATGACAAAACTAGATTCCGCTGATTGATACCTACAGGACCCATATTTCGCGACCATCCCTATTGTCATATTCCTTTTGCATTCATTACGCTAGAGTAGAGGGCGCTACTTGGACGCGGGGTATGGAAAACCGCGCTAAACGATTACACAGATTAAATGTTTGCCGACCGCTTCGTTTGGACACCGAAAACTCCTATTATCGTCTAAGAATATGTTGGCAAACCGACAGCAAGGTTTAGTTTACATGGTTTAATGTGCTGGAACTGTTTGCTATACGCAAAATGTGTGTTCTTTCTGTAATAACTACATGCAGCGAGATAGGTCACATCTTTGCATCGGTTTATTTGTGTTTGTGGGGAATATATTTGCTCAGTCATCTGTCTCTGCATTAGTCAGTGTTTGTCCTTTCCCATCCATTCAACAATGGTGAATCGTTCCCCGAGGTGCTAAAATCAACATTGGTTTGGTTCGGGGCCAGTGCGTTGACGTGCGTTCCCGCTTTTGTTTTTATGCATAGAAGTTGGACAGCTCAACTTTTAAGGACGTTTTACATGAACAGACTTGCGGTATCGTAGTGACGGGCAACCAGTTTCATCCATCAGTTGCCGATGTTTTCATTTGGAAAACTTCGAGCTCCCCAAACGAATTCAGCGTTTCTAACCACAACCTTGGTGATTGCTCCCTACCCTCTCCCATTGTGTGTATTTTTGTGCTATCATTCCCCAAAGTGCTCACGGTAGAAGGATTTTTTCAGTTTCTCGATTTGTATGTCCAACTCCAGAAGAGGCACTGACCACAGTGAGGCAAGTTTTGTTTTGTGCAAACGGACAAGGACTAAGTAATTTGATTGATTTATAAGCAAACGCATGTAAAAATCCAGAACGAATGTCACGATAGCAGCAACGGAGAAAGTCACAACAGGAGGACATCAAATGACAATTTTTTCCAGGATCGATTATAAGTGACCGTACACAAATTTCCTCGTGGAGACACGCATTGCTTTGCAAAGCCGCACAAGAAAAAATTGTGAAATATTGTGGGTTTCATGTATTCACCCGCTTGGGCGGTGCTGATTAATAGGATCAAACCGACGGATAACTTTCTACTGGAATCTCAGAGCACGAATTTGGCGTTTCATTCATTCACTCTACGCAAACCATACTCATATTTATTGTGGCTTGTATAAAGAACCTGAAGAGTCCAGAGGAACGATCTTAAACTAGTTTCCAGCTGAATTTAGGTTCAGACTTTTGTACTGCGTTACAGGTTAGATCTACCCCAATATGTGGATGACAGTATACAATTGTTACAGACATCGTGTGTATCTTCTTGATTACTGTATCCATCAATCCATCCGACGACTAATGATTTCTTCCCTATTCACTTTTATGTTTCAGTGAGATTTGATTGGATCAAATCTAGACCCTGGATGTGAACGTAAAAACGTTCAGAAATTGTGACTTGCCATCGATTTTGTCTGCACGGTCAACTGTGGCCTGGATTCCGCAAGTGTGATGTGCTTGTTTAGGGGCTCTAGCAATGGGTAACGAACCAGACTAATTTTGCACGTGAAGATCAACTGATGACGTATAACAGCAGCATGAAGAAACGCACATAGCTATTGGGTGTCTCCCGCCTTCCAGTTTGAAGTCCAAATGACTGAGTACCTGGTTGGTTGGAGATACTGAAGGATATGGCAACTAACCGACAGTATGTAGTAGCGTTCTGGTAATATTTTATCAGGTCAGATTGCTTGAAAGGATATATATGCACAGTTAGGTTGTGCATTCTGTTTTGGCCATAGAGGTTCAGTTTCTTTGCCTTCTTCCATTTAGGCCCAATCCCTGACGATCTTGTACAGTATCACTTAGTTTGTGTACATTGTGAGGTTGGCAGCGATCAGTGAAGTTCGCTTCACTGTACGATGATGATGATCATGACTGCTTTTACAGACATATCCTCAGTCGTATTTACTGGTAAATGTACTCGTTCGGTTCACGGTAGTCTTTTTCACCTATAGCGCGGAAATGCATGTGAGGGCTATTGATCTAGAAGTTTTCAACGATATCATTTTGAAAAATACAAATCTACTAATGGGACGAAGTTATTTTTAAACAACTAACCAAGAAATCGGACTTTCTGTGTGCCATTGTTTCGGAATCTTGTGCGTCAGTCCGTAAAAGATTTATTCTTAAAGTAGAGTCGACAGGAAGTATTTTGAACAACGGATGAAGACCTAGGGAATTTTCGTGACATCCGGTGAAGAGTACTGGATAGTTGGTAATTTCTTGTCGTCGGGAATTGAACCGCGACCTTCACGGTCCATCCCCAACATCTGTACCCACAACTCTGTGCTGTTGACATTGTAGCATACACGATGAACACAACACAGCGCATCCACTTTTGATATGCTCTCAGCCTCGTTTAGCTAAGTGTAATCTTTAATAAGGGGATAATGATTTAATCAAGCTTGGCATAATTCATACATCTCGACTTCTGTAATTTGCCATTTGTTTTTTCGGATACGTAATGTTAGACATTGACGTATTGACCTCCACAAGGAACCAAGTCTTAATTCATACTCTTCAATTTGTGATACTTTTTACCATTGAGTTTCTGATGCCAAAGTAATACACTAATATTTTCACAGTTTAAACATGAACTCACTCGGATGTAAAGTTTATTTTTACACGTAAAATACACTCATTGCGTAGTTAGTACTGTAAAGTAGACCATAAACCCTTATCTGAACATTTTTAAGGATGATGTAGTTTATTACTGAAATGTTTTGCTAGTAAGAATGGGCGTCTTTTTCTCAAAGTGTTTCGTATTCTTAGTTCTTCTTTGGTTACAAATGCTTCTGTCCTCGTTATATCTATCTTCGTTTGGGTAAAAGGAATGCTGCCTAAATGAGGGGAATTCTGCGATTGTTACTTTCCTTGGGCTCACCATGATCGTGGTTCTTGCTACTCATCTAGGGCGGATAGAGCAGTTCTTCTTCCAGTCTTTGCAGTTGTTTAAAATGGTGATAATAATAAATAGCACACCTGAATAAGTCGAAGAACAAAGTAGCTCAAAAATGTGGACATCCACTTGAATTGTCATCTGTCCCAAGTCGACTGCACTGTTAGTCGATTGACTTGCATCCCCAAGCTACACCAATATTATTTGCTGAGGTCGGCTATCGGTTTTTCTTCTCCCGAATTTGCTGGCGAAAATCACATGTTTCAGCCTTGAGGTTAAATGTATGCAGTTTGATCACAAGCGTGTTTGTGTGTCTCAGGTAGCCTGCAACTGCGGCTAGTTAGACGTTGAAGATTCTTAGGTTGTGACCTTGATGAATGAAGTCTAGCCTGGGTGTTGATCACACATGCAAAACACTAGTACCGTTGCAAATCGATCGATTGCCCGCTTGCCTGTGTTCTATTGCCTTATCAAACGTGTTTGATCTGACTTTCACACAGACGAAATGACATGACTATTTCTCTTCGGTTTAGTTATTTGATTTTTCTGTGACATTTTGATCCGTTGTGTTTTTTTGATTTCCGGGAGGTCCAAGCTTACGTTCCAAAATGCCCCACCGGTGATCATCTATCTAATGTGGATATATACCATGATCGAATCCCGAATCTTTATTGAAATATCATAGTGTATTTTTCTGACAAAATATCGTCAGTACGAAAATCAACATATATATATATATATAACACGTTTATGAAAAAAATCGATTTTGATCGGATTAGTTCATCTATGGTTAAACCGATGCCAAGTGTTATCCTAACCCGTCGCTGTCAGGGTGCTAAGGCTCTTTTAGAGTTTTGTCTGTCTGATAGCCGTAGCAATTAAAGCGGTATGTGGCCCAATTTTTTGACACCGCTGTTCTCGTGCCT